TTTTAAAGCAAATCTTGCAGGACCCAGAGGACGCCATGTTTTCCCTGTCAGAGCTAGTGCCTCTGAATCAGCATCAGAACAGGTCTAAACTGCTGAAGCCCTGGTGGGAGGTCTTTATGGACTACCTGGTGGTCCTGATGTTGATGACATCTGTCCTGGCTTGTACGGAGCAGCTGTCCAGGGACCGAGTAGTGTGCATTCCTTTGGATTCAACTACAAACACTAGTGATCACAGTCACTCAAAAAGTGCCAGTGTGGGACTGTCTCCATCGTCACAGCCTCAAATACACCACGCACACAAAATCGGCCCAAATCTTCACTCTGCACCTCGGGGTCGGCGCACGCACTTGGTGTACCAGCAGTACATTTATATTAGCCAGGTAAAGTAGTGCTGGCTTTGTTGTTTTTGTTATTCACTCTGTGAAAGCATAGAGTGAGCTATATTTAACATTCTGAACCTTTATGTAAAAGGACCTGCTCATACCCACAGGTTATTAAACCGCTTATCTCAGCTCCACAGTGGAACTTTAATCTCCCAATTTCTTCTGATTCACACTTTGACTGTTTCAGTGCTCACTCACAGCTCTCATGGTGTTGCTTATTTAAGCCTTACTAACCCTCGGAGATAGAACCATGGTTTACCCCTATAGCCAACCTATAGAAGTAAACCAGCAAACCGTATATCTAGTATGTCTACTAGACATACTAGTAGTTCTGTCTACTAGTATGTCTAGTAGACAGAACTAGATATACTGTCACAGAACCAGTATGTCTAGTTCTGTGAGTAGACATACTCACAGAACTGGGCTTACAGTGTATCCTGTATTTTAAGCTTTTACCCATTCAAATCAATTCAATTAAAAAGAATAACTTTAGCACCCATTTCAGTTTTTATACTAATCCTCTTCCTTTGTTAACAGGTAACCCTTTGTTATTAATGTTTCACAGTGTATGTCTGCTGCCCCCATGTGGTCAAACAATCAATTGCTGTTTGCCTGTTTCTATAGGTGTGCTACCATGAAGCTTTGCCTTTGTCCTCCCGCTTCTTCCCTTACATGGCCTTGCTTCAGTCCCTCGTCCTGGTAGCCAGTGGCTCCTTCTGGCTCCACTTTCCCCACACCTCATCCCGCATAGAGCAGTTCCTATCCATCTTGGCAAAGTGCTGTGAGTCACCCTGGACATCTCAGGCCCTGTCTCATGCCGCCCGCCAAGAGAGCATCCAGGAGATGGTGGAGGAGGGAAGACGAGCACAACAACCACACCACCGAACTTCCACTTCCCCGACAGTGACCCACACAAGACACTCGAGCATAGACTCGGGCACAGACAGCCCACTTTTAAAGAGGATAGACAGCGCATTTGCCACCCCTCCATCCCCTTGTCCCTCCACACTGTCCTGTAACTCCACTGTGTCTTGTGTATCTCTTGACTCACGGGAGCAACTTCCTTCTTCCAGTCCATCAGTAATGACTGACAGCCACAGCCAGGTAATCAGTCTGGATAAAAGTGATGGGGAACAGGCGAGGGCGCTGTTTGAAAGGGTCAGGAAGTTTAGGTCCCACTGTGAAAGCTCAGCTGTCATTTGTAAGGTAAGAGATCCTCTAGTCTGCTAGATTTACAGATCAACTTCTTTGCTACCTTAATTTTTTTTTAATTCCATGAATCGTTTAGTCTTGATGCCCATTTTTCCCTCTTCAGGTCTACTTGGCTCAGACAGTTTTCAAACTCCTGATTGTAACACTGATTATGAGTTACACAGTCCCTCTTCTCGGCTCCCTGTCCTTCAACCACACCTGTCACCCTGAGGAGTGGGCCCTGGTGGGCTACGCCACCTTCGAGTGTATCCACGTGCTCTCCTCACTTCTCCGCAAACTGCTGGCGGCCTACCTGACCTTACTGGGCCTGTATGGTCTGCTTAATTTTTACACTCTCACCTGGATTTTAAGCAGGTTAGAATAAAAAAATGTTAAAGGTGCACTTTTCAGTGTTTTTATCGCAGAAAAGGTAGGAATATATATTTTTAAAGTGGATAGTTTTGCCCAAAGAAAGTTAGAGTATGTATGAGTGCTACTTCAGGCTTTAACAGGCTTTGAGGAGAGAAACTAGTCTAAATGTAAAAAGCATAAATAAATAAATTGTGCTCCTGATGATGAGCATATCAGAAAACTAGTTACAGGAGTAAAAAATGTAGTGCTGTGTTTTTGGCTACAAAATATCCTGTTTGATGTTTCTCTTTGTTTTTTCTTTCTTCTTCTTCTTCTGCCTTGGTGTGTTTGATTCAATTCAGCTCTCTGCAGCAATATTCCTTCCATTCACTGAAGGAGCTGAGCTCCCTGAGAGATTTTCCTGACCTGAAGAACGACCTGGCCTTTCTTATACACATGTTAGACCAGTACGACCCTCTGCTGGTCCAGCGTCTCTTTGTGTTTTTGTCGCCTGTCAGTGAGAGCAGGCTGCTGGAGGAAAGCTTAGAGAGGCGCTGGGGGGAGGAGAAGCTGCACGCCATGATCAGCGTGGATGCAGACGGCCGCTCCAGGCTGCAGCTGGTGGCCCTGCCTCGCCTTCCTCCAGCCCTCTTCACTCTCAGCCAGCTTCAGGTCCTCAAACTGGAGCTCATCGCAGACACCAGGTTTACTGCACACATGACCAGCATGACCTCACTCAGGCGAGTTGTACAGTGCAGGGGCGTAGTCTTTGAAAGTTTTTTTTTTTAAGTATTCACTTCTTTTTAGACTCTAACTTGGACTTTTATGTGGCATTCCAACTACAGGGAGCTGCACCTCTACCACTGCACAGCAACTGTGGATCCCAGCGCGCTTGCTTTTCTCCAGGAACGTCTAGAAGTCCTTCAGCTTACCTTCACTCAGGCATCAGAGATCCCCAGCTGGGTCCTCTCCTTGCGAGGCCTTCATGAGCTTCACCTCTCTGGTCGCTTAGGCAGTGACGGTGGGGTGGGCCGTAGCTGGGCACTGGGGAGCCTACGCCAGTTGCGACACCTACGTGTGCTGGTGATTCGAGGCATGTTGCAGCGGATCCCCGGTGAGCTCTGCGAGGTGGCAAGCAGCTTGGTGAGACTGGAGATCCAGAATGAGGGCACGAGGCTGCTTGTGCTGATGGGCCTGAAGCGGATGGTTTACCTGACAGAACTGCATCTGCAGGATTGCCAGCTGGAGCGTTTACCCTCTGCTCTGTTAGCACTGACCAACCTCCGGGTGCTTGACCTGCAGCACAATAACCTGAGGACTCTGGAGGAGCTGCTTAGTCTGGCTCACCTTCGTCGTCTCTCTTGTCTTAGACTTGCTTACAACCGTGTTTTGGTACTGCCGGCCAGCGTGGGTGTGCTTAGAGGCCTCGAGCTCTTGGATCTGTCAAACAACCAGCTCCAGAGCATTCCTCCAGCGCTCTTCACTCTTCGACGCCTTCGGAGGCTCCTGCTTGCCGGTAACCTGCTGGAGGAGCTGCCTGCTGAGGTGAAGGCACTGCAGCTGCTCACAGAGTTGGACCTCAGTGGGAACAGGTTGGAGAGGCTACCCACTGAGCTTTTCAATTGCTGTTTGGAGTTGCGCACCCTGAATATGTCTCACAACTCTCTTAGCTTCTTACCCAGAGAGATTGCAGCTCTAAGTCAACTGTGCAGGCTGGACTTGCGCAGCAACAATCTGGAAGAACTGCCTGCTGAACTGGGCTGCTGCTCAGGGCTGCATGGGGGTGGTCTCCTGGTGGAAAACTGGCTCTTTCTTTCTTTGCCACCGCATGTCAGAGACTTCCTGAGCCGCTCTTACACCCCAGGTGGTGCGCACACAGAGGAGCATTCCAGGCCCGAGTCTGACAGTTTTCCCTACTTCTCTCCTACACAGTGGAGCTTCTCTTCTGCTCTGGAATCACAGATATAAGGACAACAGCTATCAGACTGGTGACATAATAAAATAAAAGCACTGATGGAGTTTCTTACAATTTAGAAGGTTTTTCTTCAACTACTGCATCAGGCAAATTCTTCACCAATCTGCCCTTATTGTCCATTTTGTTTTTAGAAAATGCAAAACTAACAGATGGACTGCTTTGTATTGCATTGAAAAATATTTCTGGAATTTTTTTTGAATAAGAACATCTGTGATGAACGCATAAATTGTGAGTTAAAATCAAATGAGTGTGGACATCTCCATTAATATATTTAAATAACACTACTTGTCATTCTGTATTTGTAGTTTTCCTGTTAAAGAATGTGAGATTTTATAGATGACAGAGCAATAAAATTTATTATTTTGTAAAGATTTCTGCAGATCTGCAGATACTTCCTGATTGCTTCCTGTATAAAAGTATTCTTCAAAGTATTATGAAAGCTGAGACCTGATGCCAGTGTATCCATGTTGGATAGTTGGAAATACTGATACTTCTCGTTATTAATACAGTTATTATCGGCCTTTGGCGCCCCGTTTGTTATTCATAATTCTGATTTTAATAAAAGGTTGTAAACGTTAATAATGCTTCAACGACATTTATGCTGTACAACACTAATGCGTTCATTGACCACTAGAAGGCACTAAAGACTTTTAATTCTCAGTGCTTAATGTTTCCAGAATTAAAGCTTGATTTAGACTTGTGCAAGGAAACATAGAAATTACAGTTACATATACTTTTATTGATGGAGTCCGAATTTCTTCACACTGTTAACATCACATCCTGGAGAGGAGTTTTGCCTCGCGCGACTTAAACGTCTAGATTTCATACAATTTTAACGATTTCTGTGAAACAAAAACAAACTAACAAAATTGATCCAGCCTGAATCAATTCCAGGAAGCTGTTTTATATTTAAGGTCACGGGCCTGCATTATCATACGCAAACACATCCCGGTTAATTTTATACTTATATTGCAGCAAAACGTGACTGTATTAATTTATTTCGAGTGTCCCTCCCGAGCTCCCCTACGGAGAGCAGCTACAACTGTGTCCCGCTTTTTTCAACTGCGACGGACTGCGGCACACTTTTTGTCCAATCACAGGCTGCTTTTCACAGAGGTCGCATAAACGGGCGAATGATATCGACCCGCTTTAGTCGAGGCGGAACTTCCGGTTGGTGGTATAAACCAACTGAGGCCTCTCCATGCGGTTGTGATCTATCGGGGCAGTCGAAGCTAACACCGAAACGGTAGGAATCCTTGAACTACTTCATTGTCCCGCTTGGGCGGCTTTCCGCGTCTCGTTTCACCTAAAGAAGCTTGTGAATTATATTTGTTTAATTTGGGCTGCAGTAGTGTTTGCTATCGCTAAAAATAACCTTTCGTTGTTTGTTTCAGGGGGCGGTGTTACTTAGCGTTTTGTAGCCTAGCATTTGGTAGCCTAGCAAAGCAATCGCCACTTAGATTTCCTTATTTACACGAAATATGCCGCCTTTTTGTCATCCATATAACACTCCCGTTATAATTACGAAAAGATCGCCTTCTTATGCCGTTGGGAATATTTAGTTGGTCGTAGCGGATTAGTAGTTGTCGTGTAGAAGAGTAGCTTGCCACGTTAGCAATGGTTATGCAACACAATGGCTTTCTAGTGTTGTATGCGCTTAGAAGCTAACCGGTTTGGTCAATTTGACATCGTCGGTTACGGTTTTGACCTTGTTTGTTATATTGAGTGTACGTGGTCATACAGAATAGTTTCTGCCTACAAAACACTAGACTATTCATATTTAGGCCTGCTCTGTTGCGTGTTTTCTTGCCTAGCATTTCTTAACCACAGGCTTACTCTTTAAAATTCAGTTCGAGTTATACACAATAGAGCTAATGTTTGGAGTCACGTTTATAACCAACCACGATTTTCATAGTTGCACAAAGTCAAACCCGCCTTGTAATGGTAGAATAAAATAAGACTTTTTAAATGTATTAAAATATGTGCAACAAGTGGGCTCGAATAAGAACCTCGCTTCATATAATCTAAGTAAAGGGAGCCCTCTCTTACAGACACAGATGAAAGACAGTGATCATTAATACTCAGCTGTATTTTCTTTGTTCCAGACAAATACAATGGCTGAGAATGACGTTGACAACGAGCTCCTTGATTATGAAGAGGATGAGGAGCCTCAAGGAGCCCCCGAGAGTGCAACCCCAGCAGGCAAGAAGGAGGTGAAAGGTTCCTATGTTTCCATCCACAGCTCTGGTTTCAGGGATTTTCTTCTGAAGCCGGAGCTTCTCCGCGCCATCATTGACTGTGGTTTTGAGCATCCATCTGAAGGTGAGACGCATTCAACTGTTCTGGTACCTTTTGTTAAATGGGACTAGTGGGGAACTGGCAATTGAGTTTGTTTATGGCATACCCTTGCACTACACTGGTAGAACCAGTCAAAAGCTGTAAGTCTGCATGTTCTTCAACAGCGCTTACCTTATCTTGCTTGCATACATTAAGAATTTTTAAATAGCTTGACTTGCTTTGTGCGTCTAAAAAAATGCACCACTCCCAGCAGGACTGCCACTCCTCTTGTACTCTTTATAGCAGTTCAAAGAAATTGATTTGCAGGTAATAATAAGACTGCACTTAACATTAATATTTGTGTTGTGTTGTTTAAAAACACAGTGCAGCATGAATGCATCCCACAAGCTATCCTGGGCATGGACATTCTGTGCCAAGCCAAATCTGGTATGGGCAAGACGGCTGTGTTTGTGTTGGCCACCCTGCAACAGATCGAACCCGTTGACGGACAGGTTAGTATGTGTGTTTAACATGCTTTGACTGTGCCTTCAATGTTGAGCTTTTCATTTATCGGCAATGAATGTTATTAGTCTGGTAATTAATGAACAAGCCAATAAAAGCTGATAGAGGTCCAAATGTTTTTGTTGTCCTGTTTTTGTTTTTAACTTAGCTGAAGTCAGAGCCACCTGTGAGAGAGCACAAACAAGACTGATCAAAATCAGTCTTAGTCAGAGCTAGGGAATGCCAACAGAATCAATACCCATGGTACCATTTTGATAGCAGGATTTATGAGATGCAGCAGTGCTCGTCGTCAGCTTATGCAGGGAGGCAGAAATCCTTCCAAAACTAAAGGAGGCAGGATGTGGTTTAAAGTATTCTATTGTCAAAGCAAAAGAACAGGTGGAAGATGGAAAGTCGTGCAACTGCAACAAACTTCTGCTCTGTCTCTTTTTTTAAGGAAGGCAGTCGGCTGTGCAGCTACTTTGCATTCAGGTGGCTGCAAAATCTGAGATAATTGATTAGCAAGAGGCGATATGCAAACAATAATTGGACTTCCAATTTAGCAAGGCACATGAAAGACTGGTATCCAGAGCTATTTATGTAGTTCACGTTGAGGACGAATAAGTTAAGAGTGACATCCAAAGTTTTGTCCTACAAATCTTATCCAGAATCACAGATTACTGCTTATTTTGTTTGAGACTCCCCATTGTAAAATAACCTTGAAATGTTTGTGCTCACTTAATGTAACTAACACGAGTTAGTCACTTGCTAGTAACACTAATGGGCTACTCGGCAGCCATCCTAACATCTCAGTCTGGGTCTTGTCAGTAAAATGATGTCAACATTTAAATAAATGATCAGAATTCTAAAACGTTTTAGTAACAGTTTAAGTACCTGGCACCAGCCAGTCATTTTGTTTCACTATCCAGCTGTGTGATTCTACTGGTATTGGTACCAACTGATGAATTTCTGGGATCATGACATTCCTTATTAATATACAAATAACAGATTTCATAGGTGACTTATAACCAGCAGGTTTCTTTGTTGGGATATGCAGTTTTGAGGACAACAATAAAATATGTTTTAGCGGGAAATCTACGGCGTAATCAGAAACCCGTCTTAACGCTGCACCAAAACCTTCCACATAACTTGACAAGAGAAATGTTACTACATGTTGGGTTGTCTATGTTACGCTTGCGGTTAAGAGGGGTTTCCGTTTAATATGTAGATTTCCTGCTAAAGCATAAATCAGGCATAAGGGTCGATTGGCTTAAGTGTTCGTGTCAGTGCTGAAATGCAGCGCAGCCGATCCTGGTGGAATTTGGGGATTTGAGAGGATGGATGACATTCGTTGTGTATTATAGCATCAGTCTATTTGATTGTAAGTGGCATTTTCATGTTGTGCTTGTTATGTGGAAATTATACACCAAAGAGTTGATAGATGGCTCAGTTCTGGCTTATAGAGTTGCAGACCTTCAAGTCTAAGGTGTTATAGCTACAGTGGGATGTAATTTTCTTTCAAGGACAGATGCTTAGATGATCATAAAACACTAAAAATGTAACATTAACATTAAATGCATCTTGTCGTAAAACTGTTCATTTTAAACAAATTATTCTGCCTACCTTTGACTTTTTGATAGATTTTTGGATTTAATCTGTTTCCTTGTCTCCAGGTGTCTGTATTAGTCATGTGTCACACACGAGAGCTGGCCTTCCAGATCAGCAAAGAGTACGAGCGTTTCTCCAAGTACATGCCCACCATAAAAGCAGCCGTATTCTTTGGTGGCCTGCCTATCAAGAAAGACGAGGACGTCCTGAAGAAGAACTGCCCTCACATCGTTGTCGGAACTCCCGGCCGTATCCTCGCCCTGATCCGGAACAAGACGCTCAGTCTGAAGAACGTCAAGCATTTTGTCCTGGACGAGTGTGACAAAATGCTGGAGCAGCTAGGTGACTTTTCTTTGCTTTTGTCTTCCCAGTTTTCACCAAGTCGGCAGCAAAACTGCAGTAGTCAGTCAGAATCTTACCTTAGTCACTTTTTTCACTCTTTTTCTTTCTTCACATGGCAGACATGAGGCGTGATGTTCAGGACATCTTCCGGATCACACCGCATGAGAAGCAGGTCATGATGTTCAGTGCAACACTGAGTAAGGAAATCCGTCCAGTGTGCCGCAAGTTCATGCAAGATGTAAGTAAGCAGCGGAGGGCTGCTTCACCTCTGAATGTCTGTTGTTTTATGTGAGACCACTCATCTCCACCACTTTCGGTCTGTACTGAAAACTGCTGCACTGAAGTTTTACTTACCTGCTATCTCTTGTACAGCCCATGGAGGTGTTTGTGGATGACGAGACCAAACTTACACTCCACGGCCTGCAACAGTACTACTGCAAGCTGAAGGACAGCGAGAAAAACCGCAAGCTATTTGACCTGCTTGATGTGTTGGAGTTCAATCAGGTGAGGGAACATACATCTTTATATTGTTGCAAGCTAATGTTTGTATTCAAAAGGTCCCAAATACTCATTGAAAGCTGTAATAAAAATTGCATCAGAGGTCTAACTCGGTGCTTCCTTAATGCCCGTGCGTTGCCTCTAGGTGGTGATCTTCGTCAAGTCAGTTCAGCGCTGCGTCGCTCTGTCCCAGCTACTGGTGGAGCAAAATTTCCCTGCCATTGCCATCCACAGGGGAATGGTTCAGGAGGAAAGGTGACTTATAAACTCTCAACTCGTAAACATGCTCTGCTGAGCTTCAAATGTGTTGTGTATTTTTGAGAGCAGGAGGCCTCATCCTTCAACTCAACGCATTAGTCTTCAGAGAGTGCTTGTTGATAATCCTCCTGATGGTTCTGTCCTCCTTCCCCTTCTTACCCTCTCTCAGGCTGTCTCGCTATCAGCAATTCAAAGACTTCCAGCGGCGGATCCTGGTGGCCACAAACCTTTTTGGCCGAGGGATGGACATTGAGCGAGTGAATATCGTCTTCAACTACGACATGCCAGAAGATTCTGACACCTATTTGCACAGGGTGAGAAATGAATTTCTGAGCCCCTCTCCTTTTTCATATGCAGGAAAGTTGGCTGTCTTATTTGCTCATCGAGCACCGTGTGAATGCTAGTGGTAGTCCATGTTGCAGTTTGGACTTACTCTTACCTTCTCTGCGCCCCTCAGGTTGCCCGTGCTGGTAGGTTTGGGACCAAAGGCCTGGCTATAACCTTTGTGTCAGACGAGACTGATGCCAAGACTCTAAACGATGTGCAGGACCGCTTTGAAGTCAATGTGGCCGAGCTGCCAGATGAGATTGACATCTCATCTTACAGTAAGTGTTTTTGGTTTTTCTTATTTCTGAATGCCTCCTTAAAAGCATACTGATGTCTTTAATAACATTAGAACCACTGTGATCTGTGGATTAAAGAGTTTTGCAGCACTTTATTATTAAATCATTGCGTTAATGCTGAAGCGTTCCCCACAGAAAATTGCAGTAAACCTTTACTCGGCAACAAGACGCAACAGTTGGTGCTGTCACGTTAACTGAAGCGCTCCTCAAATCCTTCACATATTTAACCTGTTGCTGAAACGTCGGTATGCTCAGCTGTTGCTCATCGTTCTGATGTTTTGCGTGCTCAACTAGTCTCTCCTTCTCTCCCCCTCTGTAGTCGAGCAGTCCAGATGAGTCCCCGGCCAAACGGCAGTCTGCTCTTCGTGGATCTCGTCTTGTATTTGGAAGTAGACGTACTTCACCATTGATTTGAAAGCTCTGCCTTTCCTCTGTTCACCAAACGTTTATTTTTATTGTCAGTTTTTAGGGGGGTTTGGTTTTAATTTGTCTTTGTTTTGCTTAATGGAATTAAAACTTTTTATAAAATGTCATTTTACTGTTGTGGTCACTTATGAGGATGCTGTCTCTGCTCAGTTTTCATTGGTTTCAGTCTCAGCAGCGACAGAGCTTCAGGGAAACTTTCAGAGGAACATGTGATAGGAGTCTGTGCTTTTTCTTTATGTCCAAGCAAGATTTGTATAGGAGATGTTTTGTTTTCCTTCCCAGTACAAAAAAAGTGGCTGTTTGGCTGGTAATCAAAGTTGTAAAGACACAAATTTGGCTCATATGGCAGCTCTTTCTATGGATTTTTAACTGAATATCCTCCAATAAATGAAGTCACCACATGAACTGGTAGTGATGAATTTGCAGATTTTGACGGGGCAAAACATGTCACTGTTTAACTGTATTTTTTTTTTTCTTGGTATTTTGTTTTAAGTATTAAAAATTCAAAGTGTTAAACAAGTGGAAATCTGCTTAGATGATTTAGCAACAATTCAATACTGGATAAACGTCACTGTGCAGAGTCATAGTGATGGTTCTCTGCAATTTTTATTGCTGCACAGTAACTCGATATTGGATGTTGATATCTTAAGTGCAGTTGGGCAGACACCAATTTATCTTGCCACTAAGGTAACTTTTCTTTAGTACCAATTAGTGACTGTAGTGTACATGTGTAAATACATGAAATGCCTGCTCAATGTTAACATAGTGTGGCTCGTTGCAGGGCTGCTAGCATAGCTGTGAAATTGCAGATCTTCGGCTGCTCCGCCACAGCAGCTGGATCTGCATGTTTGATCTGACTCAATTTAAACCAGATGCATTTATCTGCATGTTAGGGGGATGTGTTAAGCGCTACACCATAGAGTTGCTGTATAATTTAACCTACGTGACAAAAAAAAAAATCCTCTTTTGATAAATGTTCAACAGTGATTGTCAGAGAGAATTTTATTTTTTAAAAAGCGAAACGATGATGAACTCATTCCAGCTCTTAAAGTAAACTGTAAACTAACCAGATTCCAAGAAGAGTTAATCACAAGGAACACTTTTTTTTTTTAAGCATAAGATCTTAAGCATGACTCATTACAGAAAATTACAGACTTATTAATGTACACTAGTTCTACAGTCATCAAGCTTTCAAAATTGGCACTTACTGCTCATAAAAGATCTGAACCCTGCCTCGTCCAGTGCTAAACTATACATGGACTACTTCAGTATAATGATTGGCCCTTATACAGCAGATAGAACTACAAAGGTAACAATGTGTCTGTACATAGCTGCACTATAGTTTCCCTCAATAAAACTAAAGATACAATATCAAAACCACAGCATCTTCATGGGCAAAATAGCAATGGAAAACAAAAGACATTTCTTAGCAAATTAAAGTTTAAAAAGAACCCCTGATAAGGATTTGGGGCAGCAAATGTTTTGTAGTTGAGATGGTAGGGGGGGGGGGAACAAAAAAACATTCACCTCAGGGCAAAAATGTGTAATCTATGGCACAAACGGATAAAGTACATTGGTGCTTCCACTGAGACGAAGTTACCACTGTATACAGTAATTTAAAAAAAGGCAGTTTGTGATTTCAACTCATCTGTATGAGGATACCAGATTAGGCTGTGAATCAAGGTTGCTGTAAGGTGCTCAAACGTCAACCCAAACACCAAGTCGGGTGGATAATCATAATAAAGGGCTAAGCCATCCGTAACGTACAACCTGAAGATAGACTTGACAGTGTTAGTGTCCTTAGAGGTAGGCTCCTGCTGACATTTGGCAGCTGTAGACCTCAACCCCCTGAAAAAAAAAAATGACAAAGTTCTTCTCACAGCCGTGTGAAACGACTGAACAGCTTTTCAACAGTATTTCTCAGAAACAGGACGCACTTTAACACGAAGAGGCTGCTCAGTTACGAGCCAGATTAGACGACAGAGCAGTTCCACCTTCAAATCACAAATAACACATTTACCGTGGCACACGCAGCTTTCCAAAATTCATTTATAAAACAAACCAGAGTGGACGATTGTCTCCTTCTGGCATCACGAGTCAGGATTGTACCTGGCCAAATTAGGTGGTCGACTTGTTGGCGACAGAATCCCGAGCGTGTTCTTCGGATGCTCGCGAAATGTCTCAGTTTCTTGTGAAGGTAAGGCGAGGGGATGAGTCCAGCTGCGTAAACAACCTTTGACATGTTTTCCCACTAATGCCTCCAACCACCAAGTTCAACTCCAACTTTATCCATTGTATATACCTCATCTTCTCCTTTATCATTTGTTGTTCATCATTAGATATGGCTTTCTGACCAAATCTGAGCCCGGGGTCAAGTCCTGGTTTGATGGCAGTTCCTCACCCTCTCTCGGGGCTCAGCAGTATTGTCCGTCTGATATTGTTGTTCTGCCACATCGATTCTCCGAGAATAGCAGCGCCACCTTCCCCAGTGGCAGGCTGCTGTGTCATCATGTCTGTCTCGACAATAAATACCAGAGAATAAATACCATAAAATGACCCAAACCACATTCCCGTCAAAACATCTGAGACAAACTTCCATCTTCTACCAACGCCATCCTATTCTTCTTTGTCACTTAGTCTATCAGTTGTCATATACTGGAGTGCGCAGACGTGATTCCAGCAGGTTTGTCAAATCCACACCGTGAATCCTTCAGCACACGAAAGACTTATGCATGTCTGTGTTTCTCAGCTGTTCCCAAAAACAGTTCTAGGGAACTTTTGAAGCTGGGCACTAACATGGGGTCTGCTTACACCCAAAGATTTATTCACAGTTTAAAGTCTGGCAAGGCCAGAAACAGCTTTTTATCTACACTAAAGCAGGGCCTGGTCACTTTTGCGGTTTCCACATTGTGAGGTACGCCCAGTCCGAGACACATTCCTCTTTTCCGCATTCATCCTCAAATGTTTCGGTGTGTGTTCCGCTCATGGATCCACTAAGGACAGCTACTCTATAATGGGTACTGCTGGGGCGGGGGTGAGATGGGGGAGTTAATGTCTGTTTTTATGAAGGAATGTAGGTTTGGCAGGGTAACACCGCTAGTCATTGAATTTGTGCGTGTCCCCATAGAGCCACAGCTGTGGGGGCATTACGGCCTCGTTGAGATGGTTGCACTCGTCGCTGCACTTGCACGACTGGATGAACATCACGGACCTGCTGAAGCGTTCGCCGTCAGGGCAGGCAAAGGTCACGTTAGCTGTGCGGGTGCGACGTGGCGAGCAGCAGCGGCCGTCCCGGCATACTCCACAGTAGTTGGGCCGATAGAGGCGAGTGCTCCTACAGCCAGCATATGACAGACGATGTGGCTCTGGGGCCTTATGGGTGCGAGAGCACTTCCTTCCTTTCTGTGGACGGAGAAAGAAGAAAGAAGCAATTCAGTTTTTCCAGTGAAAAGGCTTCACCAGGTGTCTACAGCCATGCACGCAGGGCTGTGAGGCTGTACTGTTCACCATCCTGGTTTAGCCTGTCACAAGGGGAATGTTTTCCAGTGAAAAGTAAATGAACTGATGTTGATGGCACTGACATAAAGTAGTGCCCAAATTTAAAACTTGATGTTTATCCTGCTATAATGTCACCAAAAATCACAGACTGTATATAAAAGGTGGACATGTATATAAACAATATCAGTTAGCAAACAGAGCAAGAGGGTTCCTGGTTCAAACCCCAGTCTGTCTCTGTGCATCTTAACCATCCAGGTGCAATTGGTTTCAAAATTGGCCACAAGTGTGAGGAAGACAAAGTAGATAGAACATAAGCTTTTTTTTTTAAGCACGTCCCAGTGCAATCCTAACATCTACCACAGTTGTTCCATCACATCTCCCCCAAAAACACTTCCTTTGTTTTGTGTACTTTTGCAGCATTTTTCTATTTTCTTGGTGTTTTCTTAAGTTGCACTGCATTTGACCTCTCAGGGCAACTGTACACTTGATCTCTGAGCTCTTTAAACACTTTCTTGCAGAATTTTTAGTCTTAATTTAGCAATTTGAGGTCTTATCGTTTTATAAATTATGATCAAAATAGCTAATAAAACATAGTATGCTTAATTGTGGGCTTACCTTGTGATTATCAAGTGGCTATTGTGTGAGCATGCAGAGTTTTTGGTCAGACCCTCCAATCACTAACTAATGGCTAATAGAGCTAAGTTCATCTTTTATATACACTCTATGATTCCAGTTTACCCTGAATGTGGACCAAACCTTACAGTGATCCAGTGATCCTGACATCCAGTGATGTCAGGAATAGTCAGGGGAACATGAATAACCGCATAAATTCACCTTACATACTTAACTCTACCAGGTCTAAAGGTTGTCGAGATATTTAGAGAATTTGACTCTCTGGGTGATCCATAAAATCTGCTAACAAAGTCTTTCTTTGGCACAGGAGGCATGGGTGTGGTGTGTAGCCGGTTTAAAACTGTGCTCCAGTGAAAGCTTTATGGCTTCACGTTTGCTTGAAATTAGAGCTGCCACCGTACCATAGAGCAGCATCAAGCAACTTGTTATTCATCGCTCATGACGTGAAAAACAAAGTTAATGGGCTGAAAGAAATAAAAGGTCAGAACAGCAGATGAGCGCCGGAGAGAATAGCGTGCCAGCGATAGTTAAGGATTGACACTTGTTCCCATTAACACCCACAGCAGCTCTGCAAACACTGGGAGAGCTCAGAGAAACAGGTGCACAGCAAGCCAATCAGCTTCATGAGTGGCTCGAGGCAGGGGGCAAAATGTTTCTGAGAGTGTTTTGTTTGAAATGTGAGAGAGCAACAGAGTGGGCGAAGTGCTCTTTAAATCACACAGCATAGTGCCACCGAGTGCAGCTGTCGGCCGCGGTGTCACGTCAGTGAAGGAGACAGAGTTATTCCTCTGTCGCAGCAGCAAAAAGTTCTCCGATTCACACTTATGTAGTCAAAGTTCAAACGTGAACATGAAGCCAGTAAAAAAGTGCAGCTTCGTGAATAAAGGAGCAACTGAAAGTCGCATTAGCAGGTATCAATCTATTAATTATAGACTGTATATAAAAAAAAAAAACCAGACACAGTAAGATGCATTTTGAAGCCTCTGTATTAGCATTTTGGTCACCACCATGATGTTTTTTTGGTTTCTTTTACTGTGTATTTGTACGAACAAACTGCATGATCTATGGTGGGGTTTTTTGTTTGTTTGTTTTACACAGTTTGCCTTTGCAGTTATTTCCATCTTAAATTCTGTGTTTAAAATTAAAAGCCCCTGTTATTCATATTAATGCAAAAGTTAAAGTGTCTGACCTGTAGCAAAATGTTTAAAGTTGCGCCTTTTACTTTTTTAGTAGTCATCATATTTAGTAGTAATTAAGCAAATTAGGTTTATTATATTTGGGTAGATCAAAGTGATGATGACATGAGCTGTACCATGTACAGGATGGGGCCGTTGCCAGTTACTTTTTTATTATAAGTTATATGTTCCTAATGTCTTCTAATGACTCCAAAGTGTTGGTAATTAAGTATGTCTGTTGACGCTCTGCATCTTCAGAGGTTGTGATGAAGCTACAGGATGTGTTGTGGTCTACTTCTTGGCGTTGAGCACTTGCCGTTTAACCAGGCAAGGCTTGCTGATCTTAGCCCTGTTGAAATTTTACTTTTATAATTCAGTTCCAGTAAAGCAGGATTTCATTAGAGCGTTTTATGATCTTTGAACTGAGCCAGGCTGTTCTCTCTAGTTTCATTCTAGTTTTCATATTTACTGTATGAAGACATTTACTGTATTGAGAGTGTTGTCAATCATCACAACCAACCCTCTGGCAGGAAATGTGAAATGGTATTTTCAAAACTTTCAAACTAATTAGCCACACTTTGATATACTCTGATCTACAACGAGCTGAAGCCACAGGTCTCGTTCCCCTCTGTTTTCCTCTCACACAGCAACAGGACTTTGAATAGACAGAATGGATCAAAAAGGGGTCCAGCAACAGAGGGATTCGAGGGGAGGGGGCTTTATACATGCCATGATATTAATACAAACTGCCCCTCGAGAGACGCTTCTTTCCTGAATCTTATTTAGTCTGGTTGCTGGAACTCCGTGGCTAGGGTCATGAGAAGAAGGTCTGCCTTTATAAGGATCTTTAAAGCATCCAAACACACTCATGCATTCCTCACCTTGACCGGGATGGACATGGAGCTGCAGGGCCGAATGTTGCACAGGCGCGTCTCCTTGATCATTTTACACTGAGCATTGTCATTTGTAACACGAGAAGAAACGCCCATCCCACAGCTCCGGGAACACTCGGACCAGGAAGTGGTCTGAACCACGCACTCATCACTTGTTTGCTTCCAGGCTACGAGAGATGAAAGAAAGGACACGTGAGGGAGAGCGATGATGGGAAATATTGAGAGAGAGCCAGAGAGAAGCCAGGTCAGCAGGAGTTAAGCAGGGGGAGTGAAGTGGCTACTGGGAAGTTTGAGGGAAAAGCAGA